TACCACGCATCGATAATTGCGCATGTGATTGGCTTTCTTGTACTCGTTTCCTGTTATGCGCGCGGTGGTAAAGAACTGGCGGGCAAATTGCTTTACGGAAATGTTCGCAAGATGTTCAACTGTGAAATTGTCACATAAATTGTTCTAATTGTGTTGATTCAATTAATTTGTTTTTTTATACGAAAAAGCATATTAACTTGACGGAAGTTAGTAAATGTCTTCCTTTTTAGATTTATCGTAGGGTCATAAATTTGGATGACGACAGAAGATCACACCTCGGTTGCTATTGCAATTTGCTATTTTATAATTTGGTCCAATCTCTATATTTATTTCCAATGACGTATGTTATGGAATATTAAAAAAAAAACAATATGCAAACTAGAATCCATAGATCATCGACAGTTTTTAAACAAAAGATTGACTGTCTTTATACCATGTCTCTAACATGTTGCATAGCGTATGTTAAAAATAATTAATTATGTTATTACAAATGTATTCATGCTATGTAATACTTTCACATGCAGATCATTGCAACTGGTTTGAATAAATATCACTGTAATGTTTGCTGCAGTGCCGATCAGAACGTGCAGCGTGTCTGATGGTTACCGGAATCGTTACTGACACTTTAATAACTCTGTACGAGCGTAGTGGCGACATTGAATTAATGAATTCTCAAGTTGGCCATGAAAATGATTGATTTAAAATGACAATTTCGTCAAATTGGGATTAAATCGGACGCGTTAGATAGATTATTCCGATATTTAAATTGCTCTTTTATTTTGAGTGCTTTATCGGTGACAGTCAGGTTTGTTTTTCATATATTTTTTTTATAACGCGCGTTAGGCGGCGCCTAAATTATGAACATTTAAGATTGCGAGTGCACATTTGTCTTAGTGTGTTGTACCCGGGGGAACAGTGGGTTATAGCGTTATTGGTAGGAATCGCATTTGTAGTGGTTCGAATTACGTGTTTCGTGTTCGTATATATCTCTGTAATTTGTAGTAGTGGAGTGAATGTCGCTTTGGATAATGTCACTTCTCTCCTCCGTCCACACAGTGACAATACTGCGTCAAACTATTAATTATTAAGTTATTTACCCATGTAGAAGCTTGAGAGCATTCCTGCTATAAACGTTATAGCGGGTGCAAACTAGATTCGTACTGGTAAATTGAAACTTCCCTTTTCAGTCCATATCAATGTTCCAATAAACCCACCAACTACCCCAGACGGTTAAAGCAACCGCAAGTAAGATTCGTAAGGATAATTTACAACTTCATTTGCATAGTGCATACTATACACAGATTAAATATCCCCAAAACAGGGGAACTGAGATTGTTACAAATTGAAGCAAATCGTTTTCATAACATAGATAATTTGATAGCGACAATAAGAAAGTCCCTTGCTATATTGTAATGTTCATAGGAACTTTGTAAAATAGTGTAAAGAGGGGAACAGGTGCATTGCGGAATCGCGTATAGAATACAAATGAACAAGCAATATATACACGTAAACCAGATGAGATTTTAATGGACTTAAATTGGGATTTACGAGTAATTATAGTATGCTTGAGTATTACCGCCAATCATTAAAAAATGAAAGGAATATCAAACTACCGACGGTGGTCACGCAGTGGCACTCTTGAGCGACCACAAGAGAAGTGGTTTTAAAACTCGTACGAATAGTTTATATACACAGATTATGTTGCAATGTAAACATCTTATTTAAATACATTGAAATGTTAAATATTGTTTAACAAATCACTAATACGAGTGAAATGTGAAATATTATTAGCCCCTCTGCGCTTTATTGTATGTGTTATCGTCTACATTTATTCTCCCTACTGAACTATACATTATTACATTGAATGAAGCGACAATTTACAATTCATATGTACATAAGTTGTTCGGGATCTCGCGTTGTGGTGACATAACCTAGTCACATTTGTTGTCCGAGTACGGTTTAGGTATAAGTACTATCACGGGACAGAAGGGTGCTATGAGGACATAGCCCGAAACATCTTCCGATGACCCACGGTGTTACTTGCACTGGTTGCTTCAATTTAATTCAGAGTAAAACTAGACTCGGTTCCATTTCTCTTGCCGCTGCATTAATATTATTGACTTAGGCACCCGAGGCTGTATGTATTGCAGTCATTTGTGATACATTTGGTGTCCGCAAATGTGTTGGTTTTAGATATGAGTATTTTATAGACACAGTAGAGCAATGGTTTCTTCTATACACTTGTGTAACACAAACGAGCGACGCCAATTGGCACCGCAAATAAAAGTCGACAAAAGCAGAAATTGTTTTTTTACCATAGAAACAAATGGCAATTGATAATATGTTTATCACACTCTCATCAAAACGAAAACCGTGACAAAAACGATGAATTTGATGTTTTCTTCTCCAGGATATAGTGCTCATGATCTCACGTAACTCCGGTGGCAGCCATTTTCTTAAGGTCGAACGAGGACAACATTACGTCACTGGAGTAGGTATTTCAGATAGATACTCCCGTAAAGCAAACATGGCATCTGGATCAGATGCATGTGTTGCCAACTAGTCTTTTGCGTACAAATAAATGTTTTTCCATCCATGTAGGGAAAATAGACAACAACAGCAAATACCAAGAAGTCCACAGCCAACTATTTACAGCAGTATTAGCTGTTCTACTATAGCCAAGTAATGGTGTCCTCGTTTGAGCTCAAGACTGAAATGGCCGTCACTATAGTTCAAGTCATGATCCGGTTACTTCATTCTTTTAAATAAAACGTTTTAGACAGAATAAATTAATTAGATTGAAATATACATGATTTGCGTCAGGAAAGATGCAAAAACATTAGTTTGTACAATAAAATAACTAACTTTATAAACTGACTAGTCCTATGACAGTTTTAGTGTACCACGCGCACCATTGCACTACAAATGAATAACACTGCTTTGTTTTAGAGCTGACACCAGGCCCACTATTTCAGCCAATGAGTAACAAGTCAATGGCTGTGATGGTCGCTGACGTACAGAGGAAACCATTGAAACGTGTGATTGCGTGAATTGTTCGTGCTTGTGGTTTAAATGTGTAGACAATATGATTTATTCAGTTTGTGTTTTTTGTGTGTATTACTGAAATTCAGACAATCTTTACCTGTGTACTTTGTGCTCACACCAAGGAATCCACAGTCACAAGCTGTGGCAAGCCCTGTGGTATGCGCCCTCGTCAAAATATCCTTCGTATAGGATTGGCATGAGAGGGCGCCATACGACCTAGATGGAACGTTTCGAAGTTAGCCGTTCTCATGCAAGCATGCAAAATACGTAACAAGGC